TTAACAATAAATACAGTTCTTTGGAGAAAGGTTGTCGGAAAAAAGCGCGTCGGAAGTGCAGGCAATAACCCGAAAGGTATTGTGGGTAGCTTTCAAGTGATGTATAGACTTGACCTCAGGATTTCAGGGAAATCTAAGAAAATGTCAGTTTAAGGACGAGGCATCATGAGTTTGATGAACCCATTTTATGTATAAGACTGACTCTAAATTCTAAACTGCCGAAAACGAAAACAAGAGCGAGCTTACCCAAATCGTTTTATCTGTCTATATTGATTACCGTTACTCAGATAATCTTTTGAGATTGTTGCACGCACTTGAAATTTTTGCTCTTTTGTCCCACAACTTTTCCCGTAACATGTGTATATGGTTAACCTAATATCTCCAGTTGCACATTTATGAAAACTTATATTCACATTTAATTCTACTGGTCCTGATTAGATGGGAGGAGAAGAATAGGGTGGGAGGGGGGGGAAGGTATCAGTTCAACGAGAAACCAATTGATATTCAAAAACTCAACTACCAAAATTACATGAACTCACAGATAATCTTAGCTGCTGTGAAAAATTAACTAATTCAGAAAAGCAGGTCAGAGATGGTGGACGCCGTAGTGAAGAAAGATGTATTGTATTAATTGATTCTGATCAAACATAAACTACAGATGTTAGAAAAATAGCAATCAAAGAGAGAATAGGTCAGGTTTTCTATCTTATTTATTTTTCTCCTTTATTGCGATTGTGCTGACAATCTTTTTATGTTATCATTATCATTATAATTATTACTTTGTTTATCATCATTATAATTATTAGTATATTTGGTTTGGCTTTTCTCATTTTGTAGAATGCCGGAATATAACTTTCAAAAACTCTTCGTACATAATTTCAATGCATGGATGGATCTGTGACTTGAACAGAGACAGCTGCCAAAGGCGAGGAGGGGACCTAGTTTCCATTGAAGCCGAAGAAGAATGGAATTTGATCATTGGCGAGGGTCGAAGGCGAAATACGAAAAGAAGCTGTGGAAATAGATTGAGTATTGGTCTAACAAAAAAGGCCGGGAATTGGACCTGGGTGAATGGCAGACCACTGACTATTTGCAAATGGGGACAAGGGAAGCCAAGTGGTAAACACAACGCAACTTTCATGTACAAGCAGTCCTGTAATAGCGAATGGGGCGTGTTTGGAATTGGAATTTCTAAAGAAGCTTATATTTGTAAGATTTCCAATGGTAAGTGTTTTTTGTTTTTGCATTTTTGTTTGTTAGTTTGTTTGTTTTTTAATAATTATATTATAATTTTGAGTAAATTTTAAGGGTACTTAAATAGTTGTGCTACGCAGAGCAGAAAAATTTGTTTTCTCTTTGGAATAAGTCATTCCTTTGTATTGCACTTGGGATATTCTTTTGCAGATTCAGCCTCTGAACAAAACTCTTGGCAGGACTCTTGCCCAGACTACGTTGGACCACCTTGCACGCAACAATATGGTAAGAAGAGTTGGTCATTATAATGGCGTAAATATGTCTCAATTAAAATAAATAACCCTCGGAAAAGCAAAACTACAAAATAATAAAGAGGGGGGAAGAATGGCGCTAAATGTAATCGAGACTTTGCCATTTCTTAATTTAATCGAAGATACAATGGTGTAAGGTACAGACAACCAGGCACAGAATTAACACCAGGGAGTATTGCGATCAAGCTAATAGCTAAGAAGTAAACCACTTACCCAACTCCTGTATCAATTGACAAACGCCATTGCTTGTTAGTCTTTTCCTCCTACACTAGTTTTAACAAGAGGGATTTTCAAGGAATTTGTTGATGTATTCCAGTAGTGACCATTGCCACAGCCCACTCCGGGTTAAGTACTTTGTAACAGTGGCGACGTATGGTGTTAAAACACATTTCGTAAAACCTGTGTTCAAAGGAAACCAAAAAGATCTTCGCTAGCGTCCACTTCTTATAAAATATCCGTCTCATCCAAGTTTTGCAAATTGAGCAATGTGAGAAGTTTGAAGTTTGGAACTTTACGCCGTTTGCGTTTTCTGTCATTTGCTTCTCAATACTTTAAAAAATATACAAACACGTGCTAAAAGAAAGCCGTATCATTATTGTTATCATCAGCATACATTTTTCGTTTATTTATTACCTCATTTATTTTTTCTCAAAGGGTGCCAAACAACCTGTTTCAAAAACTCCTCTTACATATTTTCCAAAAGCGGAGGAAATTGGTCTTTCAACAGGTTTGTCTGCTCCAGTCAGGGAGGCGACTTAGTCTCCATCGAAACTGAAGAAGAATGGCAGTTTATCAGTAATGAGATTGAACACCGTGGTACTTGGAATACTAGTGTGTGGCACATTGGTTTAAGGAAGATAGGAGGGATTTGGACTTGGGAGAGTGGAGAAAAACTGAATATTTCAAAATGGCGAGATTCTGAGCCAGATGGTAACGACGAACGGGCGGAGATATCTAAGAATGGAAGCCTCTTTAATGGTACCCCTGGGAATCATAAAAGTGCCTTCATTTGCGAGATGCTCGAAGGTAAGATCAAATTCTAACCATAAAGTAAGTTATGTGCTGAAACATGAGAGTCTTGTACTAGTGTCATGAAAATTGCTCCTGCTTCTTAGAAGGAAAATTAGTGTGCACAGAATATGCCTAGATTACCTAACTTGTAAGCGTGATCGATGAATGAACTTTAAGGCGCGTACTAGTGGTTGATCATAATGCCCATGAAAATTTCCGGGACACATGTGTCAAATAATTAATTTGATCACTCTAGAATTGTCCTTTTTTGCATCGCCTGCAGCTAGAAAAAACAGCGATCCAAATTGAAATTGAAGCAATTTAGAATTCTTTCAGGAGTTATTCCACTTTTGTTAAAACCAATGTGGGATAGAACTACTTTTGTTTGTGCGGCATAACTGATTTATGTCGAAGAAGCATAAAGTAAGAAGCACACTGTAGAAACAAGAACTTTTATTCACTGAATTTGTTGATCTTGTTGACTTTGGGATAACTGTTTTATGTGAAAATTGTCCCTTGATAAGGCTTCCATAAGGAAAGAAGAAACTATTTGCTAACAGTAAAACTTGAAAACTGTCTCTACAACGGTATCCCAAAACTTATCATTAAAAGTAATTGTAACAATAAATATCCCTTTACTTGGGAACAAAATCGTAAGTTCTTAAACCTGCAACTGTCATGCCAGTCTGAACTTGGAAATAATGTAGATGATTGCCGTCAAGAAAAATATCCCCATTTTCATATTTTTTTTCTACCAGCAGTTGGTAGCAGGAAAGCAATTTTAGGGTTAAGGTTCTTCCCTTTAAGTGGACATTTTATGTCTTCTTCACACAACACTGACATTTTCAAGAATAACTGCTGCTGATAAGGAGGCCTGACCCCTCAAGATCAAATGAACAAAGCTTTTTTAATTGACTTTTGAGTAGTAAAATTGTGGATTTTCTTCTTCCTTCATACCATGTTCTATGACTTCAGGATACACTTGGGCTTCTTTAAATTCTTTTTGTTCAGTGAAATTTTTAACAGTGAGTGATACATCAGTAGGAAGATCTTTTTCTTTAGTGTTTTGTCGGGTATAAAGAGATTTTATTTTTCTCAGTAACTAAAATGTGTCTCATCTCATGCCAGCTTTTGTTTTTGTGTTGTCCCATGGTCGCTTTCTTTATAATCATTCTATCATTGTCTGAAAAGGTCAAGGCTTTTAGAAATTCTTCAGCAAAATTTGAAAGAGTTTTCCTCTGATAGCTTATTAAAATTTGTCTTAACATAATTCTTAGCTTAGGATAATATGGTCAGGTAATGTATATTATCATCAAAGTGAGAAGAAAAATTTTCATTTCCATCATAATTCGGGGAAAGCGGTAAAAAATCAAGAATACCAGTACAAGGATCAATTATTCTTAGTTTCTTTGCAAAATATTTTTTTTATTTACGAGTTATTTCCTCTCTACCTTTCATGAGTCTAGGATCAAAGGAATCAGTCCAGGAATCATCATATGGTGTTATTTTTCTTTTGTTTTCATCAAAGAGCTTTTGGAAACTTTCATTTTAGACACAAGGACAGGTTTGAGTGTAGGTGTTGGCATGGGGTTCCAATATGCAGACATAGAGGTGACAGACTTTCTTTGATTTGAAAGAAAATAATCAAGTTCAAGCAAAGTTGCACCTAAATCTCTGCATCCTTGATCAGCTCCACCCCTGCACCCACAGAATGCAGAATACACAGACCTAGTTGAGTCCAGAACATATCAGAGCCTGTAAAGTTTATCGCCCTCTTAAGTTTTTTCTTTTTGAGTTGGTATAACTCCGGCTACAAACACAAAAAAAGTACTTCCATCGAGGTCCTCTGTAGTGTTTACTCCAATGCTCTGAACATGGCCGTTTGAACATAGATTATACTCTTGAAAAGAGCGCCAGGAGGATAACATAATCAGTTTTGCTCATAATTAGATGATTAAATATCCATTAGTCCAAATGGACTATAAGATAAGTCATTGGACAATGATGCCATTTGAAGGAATCCATATTTTTTGTCCGCTGAAAGTGTGAGGCGTCTTGAAAAAAATTTATCAATGGACTCATTTTCAAAGTCAGAGTCAGTAAGAATGTCCATAAAACCAATTGCTTTAGCTAGCTGAATAAATTCATTTTTGCGGCAAGTGGAGACTTGAACACCCCAGGCAGAAATAAATGCTTTAATTTCTTTCAAATCCATCTGGTGAAAATTGGGATTAGTAGATGTAGCAATGGCTTGTTTAGAAGGTGGTTGCTTGGTAATGGTACGTGAAGTTTTGTCTGTAGATGTTTAGGAACTGGTGGTGGTAGAATAGGATGGTTGTTGGACAACAGAAGGTTTAATACATGTGGCTGGATGTAGCTGTTTCACAGAAGAGGTTTTTCGGCAACGGTAGCTTCTGGAGATTGAGTTGGCTTTTTCACAGTTGCTTTAGAGTACAAATACAATTTTTTTTGTATTTAAAGAAGTTAGATCTTGACCAAGTTACTTTGATTTTGTAGCTTAATCAAATGTGCTTCGAAGGAAGGATGAGTTTGTGACGTTTGTTTCACAGCTTTGGCACATGAATTACCACTGTCTTCTATATCATTTGAAACAGAGGATGCTGAATTCTCAGGTAGAGGAGTATTACAACAGCTACCTCTAGGCAGAAGGAGATTAAAATGATTTGCCTGAGCATACACATCATGACGCATCAAAGTGATTGGACACCTGCACTTTTTTTTCGTGATCGATGAAAACGAATCAGTGTTCATAATCGGTTCAAAGTTGTACCATTTTTTCTGCGACGATAAGAAGGTGCAAATGGGTCGCTTGAGGAGCGATGCACAGCTGAAGATGTCCACAGTTTCAGCCCAAGTTCCTGCGATCTTGCTCTTCTTGACATGATCCTCCACGAGGTTCGAAGAGAAAACTAGCGGCTCAAACACCCTCGGATATCTCACTATCAAACTAGAACTTAACCTGCGGATTTCTTCATGTTTCTCATAACTTATTTCATCATTCCAGAGAGCAATTACTCCGCAAAAACAGTGTCTATCTCTTCTGACGACGACTTCTCTCCTTTGTGCACACGCAAAATTTAACTGAAAATACTTTACTGGGTAATTTCGTTTGATTTATTCGTAACTTTGTGATGTTTCGAGACCATTACCAGATGTCGATTTCACAATAAACCTTATGCAAGGAGAGAAATTTATCGGTAGATTTGAACCCATATTTCATGGTTACTTGAACGAAGACTTACACTTACACTGAAAACGGCCGCAAAAATCGTTTTTTTTTTTTTTTTGGACGCCGAGACAACTTTTCACTACATATTTGCTACAAATTGCCACAAATCTATGTAGCAATTTGCGTTATCGGCACCGTGACGATCCCAGAACCCTTTGAGCACAGCAGAGGGATCCGGTTACTGGCAACTCATTCACTGCATATTTCACAACATTTATCGAGCGCACTGCGGTTGGGATAATCTAGCCAACGAAATTTTCCCTTGCCACAAGTTACAAGGCGTAATCACGAAGCTAGGGATGTAGTCGGCCCGTAGGCAGAGATAGGAGAATCCGAACCGCATAAGGAACCAATAAGATTTCAGGATTCGTTATCATGCCCTCTGAGAAAAACAAATGATAAATACAGACCTTTCAAGAGAGGCTGTCGAAAAAAGGTGTGTCGGAGGTGCAAGCGATAAACCCGAAAGGTATTGTGGGTGGCTTTCAGATCATGTATAGACGTGACCTTGGGATTTCAGGAAAATCTGTGAAAATTTCAATTCGAGGACGAGACATCACGGGTTTCATGAACGTATTTGATATACAAGACTGACTTTAAATTCTAAACTGTATGAAGCAAGGGAAAAAGAACGAACTAACCCTAATTAGTCTATCTTTAATTGTTTTGTCCATATTGATTACCGTTACCCAGATAATCTTTTGAAATTGTAGCGTGTACTTTAATTTGTGCTCTTTTTTCCCGACAACCTTTCCTGTAACAACTGTATACGGAAAACTGCATATCCCCAATTGCATACTATGAGAACTTACATTCACATTTAATTTCACATTTTTTAAAGTCTGGTTAAATGGGGGAGGAGGAATAGGGGGCACGGTGGGGAGGTGTCAGCTCAACCAGGAAATAATTTATAATTCAAAAACCTAGCTACCAAGATCACATAAACTCATAGAAAATCTTAGCTGAAGTGAAGCTATCTAATAAAGAATAGCGGGTCAGAGATTGTGGAAGCCGTAGTGATGAAAGATGTATTCTATTCCTTGACATTGATCAAACAATGAAACACAATCCAACGAAACACAAGGGGATTTAATGTGGCCTTTTCTCGTTGAATTCCTTCAGTTTCTGTTGTGCAGTTTACGGTACAAATGTCCAAATTGAACAGACTTGGAAAGACTCACCGAAAGCGAGGCCGCTTGTCAACCAACGTCTCGCCCTCGCCCTCGCCCTCGCCCTCGCCCTCGCACTCGCCCTCACCCTCGCCCTCGCCCTCGCCCTCGCCCTCGCCCTCGCCCTCGCCCTCGCCCTCGCCCTCGCCCTCGCCCTCGCCCTCGCCCTCGCCCTCGCTCTCGCCTTCGCTTTCACCGTCGACGTCGCCGTCGCCGTCGCCGTCGCCGTCGCCGTCGCCGTCGCCAACGCCGTCGCCCTCGCCCTCGCCTCCGCCTTCGCTTTCACCGTCGACGTCGCCGTCGCCGTCGCCGTCGCCAACGCCGTCGCCCTCGCCCTCGCCTCCGCCTTCGCTTTCACCGTCGACGTCGCCGTCGCCGTCGCCGTCGCCGTCGCCCTCGCCGTCGCCAACGCCAACGCCAACGCCGTCGCCCTCGCCCTCGCCCTCGCCTCCGCCTTCACTTTCACCGTCGACGTCGCCGTCGCCGTCGCCTTCGCCAACGCCGTCGCCAACGCCGTCGCCGTCGCCGTCGCCAGTTGAGCAGCTGGTATGTTTTTATAACAGTCATTTACTCTTTTTACACATCTCGCTTTCAAGGGTATTCTCTGTTTGAAAATGTGACAGTCATTTTTTTTTAATTTTAGGCAAAGGAGTATGTTTCAAAATTTGGCGGAATAAATATTACCGAAAGGACTTCCATGCAGGTATTTAGTATTTGCAACTCAAAGGATTTTTAACTTTGATATATGTTTTTAAACCATAAAAACTAAATATCTGACCTTACAGGAAAAACCATCATTCTAGCCATATGAGGTGAAAATGACGAGGCATGAAAAATAATCCAGGCTCCTAAAAGAGTTCTTTAGCTAATGAATACCCTGAACACGATTTGGGGCCTCCTCGCATTCCTAATATCAATTGTACATTTGAGACTGGCTGGTTAATGACCTGGAAATATTTTATGTAATTGTAGGAGGCTGTAACTGTGTTTGAAGATTTCATCATAAAAATCAAGAACGTCTCAAAAGACAAGGCCGGCATGGAAGAGGTTAAAACACTGAAAAAATCCATCTTTGAGGTGGCAGAGGCCGTCGAGAAATTTGCTCTTAACTATGGCGAGCGACACCTTAGTGCAGGGAAGCCTTCAAAAAGGATCGTTTCCCCAAAAATGGGTAAGGTTGTGGCCTTCAATCCTGTTTAGTTTCAAGGTCTATTCCTTTGTTACTTACTGACTTGCTGACTGACCGAATGCGTTGTCAAATTTCCTAGATGATGTAAGGACTCAGTTATAAGCCCAACCTATTAGAAACGTTATTGTTAGATGTCATCGATTCATCTGTTCTTGTAATTTCTTTGATACTTTGATTTTTGCGGTGGAGAAAGAAATTCAAGGTATTCTTGAACAATCAACAATAGCGAACTAGAATCTTTCAAATGGTGAAACCCTCCTTCTCACTTTGTTTACTGAAACTTTTCTTAAATAATAGATTGGTAAGTACATTTTACTAACTGAAATTGTCAAATCTTACAAATACTTTCCGCGTACTTCATACTATCCACTGAGCTCAAAATTGGCCTATCATCTGCGATGCAAATAAATGCAAGATTTTTAACAGTACTCCTAAAAACTCCTTAATTAATTCTATAGTTCTCCAACGAAATAGTTCGAGGAACGAATTGCGTTTTGACAACATCAGTCCGTCTAGAACTACTCACTTTTTCAGTAGTTTTACATTGAATAAACGTCGTAAAATGGTTGAAATCGTCGAATAGTAGTTGAAGGGCAAATAAGATGCCGACGATAAATATCCATCCAATAAGATTATGAAATATTTGTGTGCACCGCAAAACGCATGTTTGTGTAGATGTGCTCTTGTAAATTTCATTGTAGGTACTTTCATTTGTCACTTTTTCCGACAGTTTTGGCCATTCAAAAAGCCTATCACCAGAATGCAAGTGGCTTCCACTTTGAAAAACAACAATGGCAAGCGAGAATCGATATTGCTTCTTCAAATTTTGAGGAAAATGGTTTGTATTAACTATTGTGGTAACTTTACAACTTTCATTATTACCTTGATTTCTCCAATCGAAATGTCTCCCCACTGAAATAAAGCCTCATATAAATGCGCTTCCTTAGTTTACATACTCTATCTTCTTTAATCATTCGCCTTCCTTCTAATGTCACATACCTCAGAGCCTGATAAAATTTGAATTTTGTGAGTTTTTTTGTTCTTGTTTGATAACTTCTTTTGTTGATTCTTGGGGGTTTAAAGGATCATTGGTAGTTGCGTTTGTTTACAAGGATCTGCATGACCTGCTTCTGACAGATCAAGCCATCAGGAGTGAAACAGACAACCAAAGGTGACGTTATTTTCGCATTACTTCATGTCGTTTACCTCCAAAAACACGTAACACGGAAACACATAAGATCTAAGTTAAACTAACCTGAACTTGGAAACTTTCCAAAAACTCTAACGAAGGTTGGAAGACTCCCTGCTTGTCTCTGACCATTCCACCTTCATGAAAAATCCGCTTGAATCTACCAAATTGATGTAATGTTGCCTCCTTTATTTTAGTCCATTTTCAAATACAATTTCTTCATAGGAATATCAACTCCAGGATAATGGCCGTTACTATGGACCCCAAGCCAAACACATTGCGAGAAAATGTCACCCTAAAGTTCAAAAACCTAAAGGTAACATGAAAATTAGCTGCTATGCGTTGTTTTGATTTATTCTGACAAGATAAAATCTATTTTCAGGTCTTGACAGCAGAGAAGCGCTGTATGTTTTGGAGTGGCCTCAGCAAAAGGTAAAAATACCACCATATATTATTGTATAGTATCTATTCATTCCTAAATCAAATTAAGTATGGAGGAGAATGAATGAACTTTCTCAGATGTTTTTGCGCAGATTAACACTTTCCTGGAAGCCAACATGTTGTCGTTTTTAGAGAGGGGAAGTCTGATTGAAATGTTCTCGCAACTAGGACTACAATGGAAGAAAAACTTAGCGCAAAATTGTGTAACATCACGTCTTCCTCAGACAATGAATAATTTTGTGTCCTATGTTAACTTTACTTTTTGCATGTCTGACAGCTTTTCAGAGGAAGGATGTCATGTAGTTATATCAAAAAGCAACCCAGAAGAAACAGTTTGCAGCTGCAATCATTTGACGCATTTTGCCGTCTTAATAGACTACGACGGCAACACAAAGGTAATAAAATTATTTTTGTCTTACTCAATAATTTTATGGGTTCAATGTACGAACTCAGTGTTGTCCTTTAATTTTTCTTTTTTTGACACAGCTGACCGGGGAGGACGAAACAATTCTGAAAATTATCACCTACGTGGGACTGAGCCTTTCCATCGTCGGGATATTTTTAACATTAATACTTTATTCTTGCCTTACGTAAGTAATGTATCAGAATAATAATTAGGAAGATTCTTAACTTTCCTCAACAAGGCTTGTGAGAAAAGAGATCTCAACGCAACTCTCCACGCAAACAAGAACATACATGTCAGATAATTTACAAATTCAAGCTACATTTCATGCCCCATCACAAACGCCTAAGCAACTCATGGTTTCACGGTTTTTGAATTGTTTAGGGTTTAGAAATTTTCTTCGTAATATTTTCCTGTTTTGTCCTCTCTGAAGTTATTTACTGACTTCTTTCTTTCCATTGCTGTCAAGATTTAAATAATTTTTTTAGCCATATTTTTCTGTCTTTTAACTCAATTTTGTTTTTTTTTTTGTTTTTCTCGGTGTCTTCAGTGTGTCGTTGTTATTGTTGTTGTTGCTTTTGCCCCGTTTATTCTTTACGT